AAGTAATGCCAACATAGAATATTAAAGACTAGAATGAATATAGTGACTAAATTAAAGAACAATTCCAGGTAAGTGGGAAAAGTATAGTCCAACTTTTATACTATGTGTTTAACATGAAACATGGTAGCATTCTCCAACCCCCACCTCAACCCCGTCTCCATTTTCCTGAATTCCGGAGTGCTTCTCCCTGCTCACAATGTGTTAGCTCAAGGATTTGTGAATGAGAAGTCCCATTTTCCACTATTGCAGAGGGATTTACAGACTGCCTCAGCACATGTGTGGTGACCTCCAGCCACATAACATGCATCTCTGTGTTCCTCTGGGGCTGGGAGTAAACCACACAGGAGCCCTTGTACTGCACCCTCAATGCACTGATTATGGTTGCAATGCCCTGCACATTGCAAAACTTTAATAAATGCACATTCTATTTCATCACAAGTGCATTTACAGGTGAAACTCGAAAAATTAGAATATCCGGCAAAAGTTCATTTATTTCAGTAATGCAACTTAAAAGGTGAAACTAATATATGAGATAGACTCATTACATGCAAAGCAAGATAGTTCAAGCCGTGATTTGTCATAATTGTGATGATTATGGCTTACAGCTCATGAAAACCCCAAATCCACAATCTCAGAAAATTAGAATATTACATGCAATCAATAAAACAAGGATAGTACATAGAACAATATCGGTACCTCTGAAAAGTAGAAGCATGCATATGTGCTCAGTACTTGGTTTGGGCCCCTTTTGAAGCAAATACTGCCTCAATGCAGCGTGGCATGGAAGCTATCAGCCTGTGGCACTGCTGAGGTGTTATGGAAGACCAGGATGCTTCAATAGCGGCCTTCAGCTCTTCTGCATTGTTCGGTCTCATGTCTCTCATCTTTCTCTTGGCAATGCCCCATAGATTCTCTATAGGGTTCAGGTCAGGCTAGTTTGCTGGCCAATCAAGCACAGTAATCCCACGGTCATTGAACCAGGTTTTGGTGCTTTTGGCAGTGTGGGCAGGTGCCAAGTCCTGCTGGAAAATGAAGTCAGCATCCCCATAAAGCTCATCTGCGGAAGGAAGCATGAAGTGCTCCAAAATCTCCTGGTAGACGGCTGCGTTGACCTTGGACTTAATGAAGCACAGTGGACCAACACCAGCAGATGACATGGCTCCCCAAATCAACACAGACTGTGGAAACTTCACACTGGACTTCAAGCATCTTGCAGTGTGTGCCTCTCCATTCTTCCTCCATACTCTGGGTCCTTGGTTTCCAAATGAGATGCAAAAGTTGCTCTCATCAGAAAAGAGGACTTTGGACCACTGAGCAACAGACCAGGTCTGTTTTTCTTTAGCCCAGGTAAGACGCTTCTGACATTGTTTGTTTGTCCAGGATCCGTCTGTGTGTGGTGGCTCTTGATGCACTGACTCCAGCCTCAGTCCACTCCTTGTGAAAGTCCCCCACACTTTTGAATGGCCTTTTCCTGACAATCCTCTTCAGGCTGCGGTCATCCTTGCTGCTTGTACATCTTTTTCTTCCACACTTTTTCCTTCCACATAACTTTCTATTAATGTGCTTTGATACAGCACTTTGGGAACATCCAACTTCTTTTGCAAATACCTTTTGAGGCTTTCCCTCCTTATGGAGGGTGTCAATGATGGTTTTCTGCACAACTGTCAGGTCAGCAGTCTTTCCCATGATTGCGATTCCTACTGAACCAGACTGAGACACAATTTAACGGCTCTGGAACCCTTTGCAGGTGTTATGGCTTAATTAGCTGATTAGAGTGGGACACTTTGAGCCTAGAATATTGCACCTTTTCACAATATTCTCATTTTCTGAGATTGTGGATTTGGGGTTTTCATGAGCTGTAAGCCATAATCATCACAATTATGACAAATCACGGCTTGAACTATCTTGCTTTGCATGTAGTGAGTCTATCTCATATTAGTTTCACCTTTTAAGTTGCATTACTGAAATAAATGAACTTTTGCACGATATTCTAATTTTTTTGAGTTTCACCTGTATATATATATTTTTTTTTTAAACAAAGGTGGTCTATGCCTTTAAGTCAGACAACAAACTGCTAAGAATGACTGAGAAGAGAATGTGGAATCCTGTCCATTTTTCAAGTATCTATATGTGTGGAGACAGAGGCCAGGTAAGAAGCTTATTTTGCACTCCCCTATAAAAGGTATCAGGCTCACAGAAATCTATTGATGTGGAAAAGGCCTTTGATAGGATTAGCTGGCAGTTTATGATCGCCACCCTTCGCTATTTGGGTATCAAAGGACCCTTCTTGAGAGCTATTACCCGCCATTTCTGCCATTTCTAACGGCACGTAACGGGGCTTAGCCTTATTCCCTCTCCTTTTTGACTCGTGTATAGAACCTCTTATGGCCCATATCAGATTAAGCCCTGATATTCTAGGTATTACAGTCCATAATAAAGACTTTAAAATTTCTCTTAGCCGATGATGTCCTTTTAACGTTAACCCAACTGCACACGTCTTTTTCCAGCTTCCACAACAAATTACATTTCTATAGCTCTCTTTCTGGATATAAGCCTAACAATTCTAAGACTGAGGCTCTCCCTTTCAAAATATCCCATCAAACACTATAGCATTTATCTAAGTCCTACCATTACACGTGGAAAACCTCCTCATTGATATAATTAGGCATCAAATTGACTGCTTCTTATGATACACTATATAAAGAGAACTTTTCTTCGCTGGAGAACAATGTTGCTACTGCTACCCCTTTCTAAGTGGAATTCACACCATATCTCCTTTTTTGGCAGGATTGCAACCATAAAAATGGCCATTTTACTCATAACTCTGTACCTTTTCGAGACCTTACCGGTCCCCCATTCCCTGATCCTTCTTCAAGAAACTTCAAACCACTTTGCTCAACTTACGGTAAAGGACACAGGATCACTAAATCTGTTGGACCCTGGTTTTGGATACGATGGTTTTGATTTTTTGCTATGTTTTCTGTGCCCGAATGATTCTATGTACAAGCCTCATTGTTGACCTGTGATCTATTCTTTGAAAACCTAACTTTGAAAATTGTCAGTTTTCTCATAGCTTAGGTCAAGGAACAGAGCACACAACCCAACTAGCAAGGGATTCCCTTACAAAGATTTTAGAATTATTAACTGTCAAAGCTGAGGCACCAATCCAACATTGAGGACTTCCACTGGCTGACCTACCGCAGTGTTGCTACTTCCAAAGCAGGTCTTTGTATCTGATGTTGCACAGGTCTGCCCTACCCTGCAACTAGAACGCCTTCTAGGAATCACAAAGTGGCAAACTGCAATGGTTGATGGAAGCCCTGATTGTAGAATCAACTGGTCATCCTGACATACTCACTTTACATATGAATAAAATCAGGTGATGGACTGGAACCATTACGTAATGCTTTTTTCAAAAAAAGTGGAAAAATGTGCTTATGTCAAAAATACTCATCATCACCAACTTCCGCTCCCACCCTTGCCGCTTCAGGAACCTTAATGGCTCAACACTTGTGCAAATGAGGGGAAACTCTTGGTGGAGCATTTCTGTCTATAGAAAACCAAGGCCCCACTCTGAGCTAGGAAAGGGAATGGAGATTTCCATTAAATATAAAGTGAGATGTACTGGTTATTAGAAGTTTTCCTTTAAGTGAAAATGTTTGCTCTTCTCGGGAAAGGATTTAGCACAACAAACATTCTGGAGGGGCCCAGACAAGAGATATCCGGCAACCTGAAAACAGGAGGAGCTACAAATTACACTGAGGCCAAAATCCTTGACATAAAGAAGAAAAGGCAGATCTGACTAGGGTAGGCAAGATGTACAGTAGGCACAATCCTGTTCTGGACAAACTCAAACTTGCATAAAGTATAAATGAGTTTCTGAGGTTGCGGTTTGCCCAAAGCCATCAGGAGGCCACCATTCTGTGTGACACAAGGCATACAATATACAGAGGCTGCTGTACCCCAGCAAAAAGGGGGTACCCCACTACCCCAGGAGTACTCATGCATCAGCCGATTGAAAAAAAAAAAAAGTGTTGAATCACAAAGGGTGCATATAAGTGAAAGCTTTCTGACCAAATCATTGCAGACAGAGAAGCAAACTGCTCCCACAAACTGAGGTTGTTGCTAAAAAAGATCTTTTTCCTTAGTGCTGATGTGTGGATCAGTGCGTGTCATAGAGTTGCTTTGGAGTATTATGCCTGACCCCATTGAAGAATGGCATCAATGTACCTGGTCGGGTGCTGACACTCCAGATTCTGTAACAAATGCCACATATAAAATATTCATCAGCCTGTACAATACAACAGTCTTTTAGCCACTATCATTAGATAGGAACAGGGGAACTGTCACAGCCCTGATCCCAAAACTCTGCAAGGAATCCCTTGATATACTGGCCTGACCAGAATTGCAGAGTTTTGGACCATCGTAGGGATAACACCAGCATACTTAAAGAATAAGTTCTCTTTTGGAGCATGTTACATATTACACCCATATTTAGGTTGTAACATGTAATCTCCTCCAGCCCTCACCCCCCCAATTCCCCTTCCCTGTTACAGCAGACAGGGGATCCTCTCCCCCGCAGACACTGTCACATTTTATCATTAAATCACCACGCCTGCACAGCTGCTTCACTCATTATCTGTGAATGAAAAAGCTACAAGTCCCATCTGCCACTGCAGCAGAGGGCTTGTAGTTCTCAATGAATTACAAGGGCACTGATGAGCGTCCTCATAATTCACTGACACTTTCACTAGCTTTCTAACAGAAATCCCATTAAGAGGTACAGGCAGAATGCAGGAGTAAGTGTCTACAGGAGCCTGACACTGATCCCAGGTGAAATGCTTTGCAGGCTTCTGTGGAAAAAAACATAAATGGTAATTTTTTTATACTGCAAAAATATGTACATTTATCTTTTTTTTTTCCATAAAAGGTGAATTTAGCATTTAAAGAACCTATGCTCATTGATTAACTTGAGAGATTTTCAGGAACTTTCAACTTGCCTGATTTTTCTTAGCAATGTGTGGAAAGGCCGAAAGAGTTCCGACATGTCTTCTGCTTTGCGTTCAAGGTTTAGAGGTCCTTCAGAGTAAACAACAAGCCCACTGTAAATGAAACAAGACAGACAAAATTTGGGGTCAATGGTTATTGTTGATTTTTATTATATGTATACAGTCTTTGTGTTACATAAAAAAAGAAAAAAGCCAAAAATCTCAAAGCAATATGAGTGACCTAAAAAAGTACTATGGCTGTATTTTGTCCAACTGAAACCTCCGAGTTATCCATGCTACATTTTAGTTCTGTAACTAAACTGCAGTTTTAGCTGGAGATAACATAACTAATTATTTTACTAATTGCTGCAACTTTAGTCGGCTGAGCATCGGTGAGCTGAGCATTCACAGGAAGGCTTATATTTTTCTCAATTAATAGAAGGCATCCTATGATTGGCTGAGCTGGAAAAGCACGCTAATGATTTCACAATCTGGCTCAGCCAATCAGAGAGAGACATGTATTCAGTGATAAAATACAAGGCTTCCTATAAATGGATGAGCAAAGCACAGTCCGATTTTGTTTCAATAGCTGAATACTGTATGAAGCTGATGATACATGCAGTTTATACAGCACTGACAGTTGACAGCTTGGCCCAAACCAACTATTTAAAGTGAAAGTAAACAGAGTCAGGCCTTCATGACCAAGGGTAAAACAAACCTTAACCCCCCGACCCAAGTTTGCAACTTTGATGTGTTAGTAAAACTGTATCAATGATTGCAACTACTTTGTGCATCCAGGTGGATTATACCTTGTTTTTTTTCAAAACAACTTGGGCTTTCTTCTTTTGGTGGTAATTTTTTTTCTATCAAAGGAAAACTAGCTGAAAAATATCTTTTTTTTTTTTTAAATAAAAAAATCAGATGTATATTTTTTGCTGTTACTGTTACCATAACTTACCACCAAAGACTATCGCAGCGATATCACATATGTGTATATTTGTTGTTTGTACCCGTATTCGGGCGCAAAAAAAACTGCATATTTTGCTTTTTGTATCCTACCTAAAAAATTCAGTGACGGTCATAATAATTACCATACACACCTAGTGCATTATAAACAAAATATATACTCAAAACAAATTCATATACAATAACTCACCAAGTATAAAACATTCCCTAAATCACACTATTGATATCTCTGTATGTGACCAACACCATTTCCCCTATAACCTTTTTGACACTTTTGCTCTAAATTAAATTTCATGCTTTATTCAGATATTACGAATATACCGTGTTTTATTATCCCATACCTAGTAACCTCTCTCTAATTGTAGAGGAACCACCTATGTATTAATCAACCACTTATCCCATATTTTGAATACATTTGCCTGGGTTGCCTTCTATGTTGGTATAACATATGTTCTTTTTGTACGATTTCATTTACTGCGTTAACCCACATGGGAGTGAGTTGTGGGGGGTCTTGGATACCTATCTCTGCGCAATAAGTTTTCATGATACAAACAGACGAACAATCGCCGTGCAAACCTGCGATGGAAACAATTCTCTCTCCAGCCCTCCCAAAATACATACCTTGGGATCCCTCGGGATACTAATGCTAAATATCCTATTAATCGTGTCCAGTACCTGACCAATTTAGGGCACCTCCACATGTGTACTAATGTACCCTCTTCAAGTTAATATCGTTGACATAGCGGAATGTCTCTCCTATGCCAACTAAAGTTTTTGGGGAGTTCAATATGAACAATGTATAATAAACTGGGTAAATTCTGTGACTCAGACCGGGACACTTGTCCAACGCTATCAAGATCATCAGTCCATTCCTCATCATTTAGATGACCAATATCCATTTGCCACTGCATCCTACATCTCACTGATATTGCTTTTGATGTTTTCTGCAACAATGCCCTATAAACCAGTTATTTGACCTCTCTTAGAAGTTGCAGTTATAATCTGATTAAGAATTACAGGTATTGTATAAACCCACTGTGTCAATTTAGACTGTTTGAATTGCGTGTCTAAGATGCAGGTAATGAAAGAAACATTTGGTAGGTACCCTTGATACCAATTTTAAAAATGCATTTTTTTTAAACTTACTTAAAACATGCTGACCCTGACCTTTGACCCTTACCTTGACCCTAACACTATCCTTGACACTGACCTAGATCAAACCTTGATCTAGCTATTTTTTTTTCTTAATTGTTCAATTTGTATTTATTTATTTTTAACACACTTGTTTTACATCTCTCTCCTTTACAGAGAGAAAGAAACAAAGCTTCTTTCTCTCCATTCAGAAGAGAAAGCAAACACATGGGCAGGCTGTACAGTGACTGATCACTGATAGCCAATCAGAAGCTATTTCAGCTATAGGGTGCCCGGGAACCAGAAGTCCTGGGAGCACACTGTGCAGGGTGCTTCCAGCACAGACACAGGAACACATATATACAGCGCCGAGGTTTAAATCCCACCTCCTAGATGCTACATACATGTTAATGGGTCCTTATGAGGTTAAACGTATAAAATAAACAAAAAAAATAAATAAATGCTGTGCAACATACCTGTATATATATTTTTACAATCACAAAATACTTAAGCACTTGGGTTTTTAAGGCACCAGGTATCAAACAATGACAACCACATATCAACATATATAATTTTATTAGTACACAACATAAAAATATTTTTTGTTTTATAGATTGAACTATGCAATCTGATGTGTACTTCTCCTAATGAAGTGGCTTAGACCACAAAATGCATAGAGCTCATCGATGACCCTCTTTCTTCTCCCTCTTTGCATTGAATTCATTTGTTTATAGCACTGTGTATGGTCCATTTAAGGACAGAGCAGTTGGTTATCTTGACTTCCAATTGTAATAAGATTGGATAAGGCTGGATATTTGTTTTGGGTACACCTGTATCAATAATTCAGAATCTATTCCCATCTTTTTATATTATGTACTAATAAAATTATATATGTTGATATGTGGTTGTCATTGTCTGATACCTGGTGCCTTAAAAGCCCAAGTGCCTAAATATTCTGTGATTGTAATAATAGGGTGTGGCACCTCCTATACCATCCATGTTTTGAATATATGTATATTTTTAATTATCCATACTTACCACACAATGGCTAGTCGAGGGATTGTAAACATTAATGCTGGTTCATAATCATCAATCATGTCTTGTGTGAGGTATCCAAGCTTTAAGGCTCTGTGAAGAGGAATTTTGCAGAATTAGGCATCATAAAAACAAGGCCAAATTACTGCTAGACAAGCGCACTCTAATTTAGCAATGTGTGCCAAGTATTGAGTAACTGCAGGCAAGTCAATTCAATCTGTGGGTGGGTAATGCTAGCAAAGAAACACTGCAACTGAGCTCAGGGCATCTGCATTTACCTTTCATTTGTTTCATATAATTTGTTATGCAGCAGATTCTATACCATGGAAATGCATCCTCATGTCAGATCACACAAAGCCCTCAATATAGTGAGCTTAAAGAGTAGACAGTGCTTGTGCCAGTGAGTACACTAGTCTGTGTGTCAACAGGTCCAGAAGATGTGAATACTGGAATCTATAGGATTTTGACCAGGAAGAAAATGTTTAAGACTTGGTTCACACTCCTGCGACCTAAACGTATCACGGCTTACGGTGCAACTTTGCTGGTGACATCCTGGCGATTTGCTGGTGACCTGATGCCATTTGAGTACAACTTTGATGCGTGGATTTCATGCCATGCGACTTTCTCTTGGTAATCTTCCTGTAATGTCGGATCCAAATCACATCAATACAGATGAGGATACAACCTGGAGATGACTTCCATTAAAGTCTATGGGCACAAGTCGGGTAGAAGCCGCCTTGAAGTAGTACAGGAACCTTTTCTAAAGTTGGAGCGACTTCAGTAGTACTAATCAAGACAGTTCCCATTGACTAACATGGGATTTCACATGTCATGCGACCTGGGGTTTCACAAGTCAGATCCCAATACGCGGCAGTGTGAACCGAGTCTAAAAGGTGCTATATACTCTAAATGAAAAAAATATAAACTAGTGCAAAAAAAATACATAAATGTTTATGTTCCACACTAATACATTACACATAAATAAAAGAACATTCACAATAATGTGCTTTACAGTATGCTAATAATGGTCACAGGTACGGAGCTAATATTAGAGTTACTTTTTGACTGATAGTATTCCAGGTGTATATGATGGATACTAAGAAGTCCCTCATTGATATGAGCATATAGCAAACCTTTCAGGTCAAAAAATGTTTTTCTGCCAACACCAATCCTTCAGTCTTCACAGGCAGCCCGCAAGTACCTTCACTAATCACAAGTCCTGTTGTGTGTGCTCAGGGGGCCCCTATCCCGGGGTGTATACTAAAAAGTAGAATTCATCTAAAACTCCGAGCTCAAGGTTCCCAAAACCTTGGGCCATTGCTTAAACCACATCCAAACACAAATATGGTGCAGGAATTAGTTTTCTCTCTTTTTTTTCAAGGCTTTTTCCCTTATCTTCACCTGTAATAAATAAAACACCTGCAAATAAAACACTAAGAGGGAGAGTTACTAAAACCAGTGCACCCAGAATTCAGTGCAGCTGTGCATAGTAACCAATCAGCTTCTAACTTCAGCTTGTTCAATTAAACTTTTGACAATAAAACGTACAAGCTCATTGGTTAGTATGCATAGCTGCAACAGATTTTGTGTGCACCGGTTTTAGTACATCTCCACCTTCTTGTCCTAGGGTGGCTACACTCACTCCTCCGTTGCATCTATAGGAGGGAGCTATGCTTGTCACCGAGGCTCAAATGTTACTGGCCAGCAGTATCTGCATGAGCAATCAAGATATCTTATCATGATTGCTCCTGCAGATACTTCTAGCCAGTAATTTTTCCAATCCAGCAATCAGCTTCCCTGCATAGACAAAGAAAGGAAGTCTTACGTCCTGATGAAGGGGAGTTCCTTTGAACCCCGAAACGCATTGGAGGTGTTTTGTTTTCTTTTTTGCACAATACAAATAAATTTATGTGGACTCTTATCTTTTGGCCTGACTCTCCTTCCATGTATGCATCTTCTTTGCTGGGGTACCCACTGGAGGGTATCCTTGTCTGTCATGAACAGCCTAATCTTAGCCAATGGGCTTTTAAAATGTTTTTGGCCTCTCACCACTTTGTATAAACGCATACCAAAGTCCCAGTACCTCTTTGATGGGTTTTTTTTCCCATTGGAGCCTGTATAGAACAAATAGCAGTATTCTGTAACTGCTATAGACTACCCCCACCCCAACCCCCAGTTTCCCTGAACCAAACAAACTGGAAACCTGTATTCTGCAATAACTGGAACTTAATGAAATATTTGAATACCACTTAAATGCTATGAATCTAAAGATTAAGTTTAGCTAAAATGAAGAACATAAACATCAGCACAAGGGACATAACTTACAGTTAGTATGATTTTCCTTTGAGATGATTCTTCTTTTAGGAGAAATCTTCAGTTGTGCTTTTTCCACACACACCCCCACCACCATAATCTTCCAGTGTGGCGGGGGTTGTTACAAATAGAGGGCTATCAGGAGCTCTTATCAAGAGAGTATGCCTGCCCTTTCCTGCCACATCCACCATTCACCAGTGCTACTGCTTATGTGAACAACACAGGATCTAGAAATGGAGGGGGCAGAGCTATCAATCATCCACCCATCCTCTCTTCATAGATCCTGTGTCATTCATACAATATGTACACCTTTTATGAATGGAGCATCTGTCAGGAAAAGGCAGGCATAATCAAGCGTTCTTGATGTGAACTCCTGGCAGCCTGTTCATTGAATTAACCCCCACTACAATGGAAGATTATGGTGGCAGGGTGTGGGGGGTTGATGCAGGGTGTGGAGTTTTAGGCATATGTCTTCTAAAAGAAGAAGAATTAGCACAAAGGACACATCATACTAACTGCAAGTTATGTCCCTTGTGCTGATTTTTATGTTTTTGGTTTTAGCTAAACTTAGGCTTTAAAGTCGAACTGTTGTAAACTTTAGGTCACATGAAATGGATCAGGAACACCACATAGCATCTGGCTTCCAGGAGCATTTTGGGCATTTCTACTCATACGGGACCATTGGAAGTATGGTTTGCAGAGCTGCTAATCTCTTAGAGACCATTAATGAGACCTCTGCACTCAAGTTTCTATAGGCATTATGAGGAGGGGTCCAACTCTCCCTGATGGATTTCTTCAGGTTTTTTTAGGTTATGGAGAATGCAACAGTATAAACAAAACTGGCGATCGATCTTCTGGTTGGAGTATCCAAGACATACATGATATCAGGGACTTACTCAGCCTACCAGGCACCATCTATAAACAAAGAGAACAATCTCTTTTGCCAGGACTGGCCCTTTAAATAAGCCAGAATGTGAAGCGGCTCTAGGTAGTGTAATAGACTTCTGTCACAAGCCAGGAAGATGACTCTACTGAGAGCCCCAGATAATGCTCACTGCTCAGTATCAGCAGCCAAAGCTCTGCTCAACTTAAGGAGGATTAAATCTCTCTTCTTTGAATGGACAATCTACTTCAATGGGTAACACACAAAGCATGAAAATGTAAATCAGCTTTTCTGCCAGGAAATAATTCAATTACAATGACATCATAAACCTCCACAGAGAAGGATTTGATAAATCTGCAGGTCAGCGCGGTGCGTCCGATAATAACGTTTTACATTTGGATGCCTATTCCAACATTTGATTTTATTCTTTACCAGAGGGAATTTTAATTAATGGCTTAAGTTGGGAGATCAGCAGAGATGATGCTATATATTCTGTAATCACCATGCTGGAAATATTTTGGATTTTCATTTGACACAAGCAAATTCACAGTACATTAATTAAGACCTTAGGAGGATCTCAGTGGTCCTGAAAGAGGAAAAAAAAATAAAAATAAAAAGACACTACCTCAAAGACAAGGTGATATTAAAGAGGAGTTACCAAACCATAGAAGAATATCAAAGAACCATTGTTACGGTGAGAAAAATAACCAAATTACCTACGCCCAAAGTTATAATAAATGACTTCAATGTTATAATGAAAAAGTATAGTGTGCAAAAATTCAACTACATACATTTTACATATTTGTAGAAAGTGTACAAACATTTATAGTTAAAGTCTTTATCAGTGGCTCTCAACGTATGAGCTAAAGGGGGCCTCAAATGCAGCCCCTGATATCACCAAAGGGCAACACAAAATGTTTAATAAATAATGTTTGAAAGGACTATCAGAAACTGCAGAACTAACAGAGGGAATGAGGGCCATAGAGCATGTACATTTATATATGCTGCTGAAGACAATATGAAACGTTGAGCATGTTACATGAGGCTAGTAGAGGTTGATTTTATTTCCCTGGTCAATGTTCCCTCTACAAATGGCTGAGGTCCAAGGGCTGGACATCAAATTACAAAGGGCCACTTGAGGGCCTTGGGCTGCAGGTTGGGCAACAGGGGTCTATATAATAAAATGCCTTTGTTTTTCCACCTCTGTGTGCTATATCCCCTGAATGGGTAAAGGAGGCTTACCAGACGATATTGACCCCTTATACGTATATGGGTCTTATAACACTTTTCAATGTGGTCACTATCTGTGGTGGGTCCACCTAGCGGAATTGGGGAAGTCCCTGGGGAACCCACCATAGATAGTGACCACACTGAAAAGCATTAGAAGACTCATTTACATATAAAGGGTCAATAAATTTTAGGAAGCCTTCTTTACCCATTCAGGGGATACAGCACACAGAGGTGGAGACACAAAGGCATTTGATCATATAGACTTTAAATATAAATGCTTGCACACTTTACAATATTTATGAAAAATTGTGCACTTTTTGTACACTATATTGGGAGTTATTTTTCACTAAAACATGATCACTTTTGGTGGTGCAGGTGATTTTCGTTCACTGAAGCACTGGTTTGTCGATATTCTTGTATAGTATCTAATCTTCCCCTGAAAGCACAAAATTCTAGGCCTGTTTCACATGGCAATTACCTGAATACACCAGATTCCAGTGCTAAGCTAATCAGTGGATTTTTTTTTTTTTTTCAATTCTTTTTATTTTTTGGTAGGTGACAGGACAACCATGTATACAGCACTACATAGAACACATACAGCAATAAGGCATATCAGGCATAAGAGATATGAGACTAGTAGTCAGCACTAAAGCCAGGATATATCAAGGAGGAAGGCTCCAGAAGATAATCTAGGTCACTTGCGGGGTGAACAAAAAGCCCGCGATATAAATTGATTTTTAATATTGCAAGAACAAAAAAAAAAATTTGAAAAAAGGGGCAAGGGGTGGGAGTAGGAAAAAGGAGGAAAAAAAAGGAAAAAAGTGGAGGGAATGACTAGAATAGGGGGCTCCCTATTCTGATGTCTATGAGGGGGGCTTCCATTAGGTGGTCCTTAAAGGGAACAGAAAAATTGAAACTGAAGCCAATACAACCACATCTTATGGGCCAATTCTGCCCACGATTCCTAAGCGTGGAAAACAAAGTATGTGCCATTCATCCTAAACAGCACCCCAAATGCAAAGTGCTTTTGCCAAGATTGTCGCACAACAAAATGGGCAAGAATTGCGGCAAAATATGCATGTAAAATCGCAGCTGGCTCAGGGCCAAAATTTGGTCCCTGAGGTTCTTTGGCATGAGAAACGTACATCGGGCAGCCCAATCAAGTGAATGGGTTGCCCAATGGGTGTGAATTGTGCTTCTGAAATTGCTAGCAGGAACCTGTGTTTCCTCTACGTGATGTGTTAACAGGGTCCTAAGGTCCTCTGCAATGTTCATCTAATAGTCACGTGTAAGTAGGTGCTAACATTATTTTGTGGGAAGTTGGCTAATTTCGCAGGCTGCCCAGGTGGGAAGAGGTTAAGCCAGTCTCTGCTTTTTCCCAGGCATTTCTGGGCTCTTACCTCCACCCCATGTTTCTATAAAAAGGGGGAAGGCTCTGCTCAGGGTCGCTCTCTCTGCCATGGCCACATGGGAAAGAGATCAAGAGGCTTAGCCAGAAGGATGTAACCGACAGCAAACCGCAAACCACCCTCAGAAGAATCCACCTGGATCAGGACTCTTCCACTTTTTGGACTAAATACTTGGGGAAGGTATGCATGGGGCAGCCCAAGAAGTTAGTTAGGGTGAGAATGTTGCTACAACTTGGACTGTAAAGTTTATGTATGTTCAGTAAAGATATTACTCATTCAAATACCTGGTCTGAAGTTACTACAAAGGGGTGCATGGTGATATTTGGCATATTGTAAACAACAGGGCCTGTTAACTGCACACTGGGTGAAGAGGAGGACACGCGGTTGCTAAAGGTAACCTACCTAGGGGAATGACATGACAGCACTGAAACAGTACTGGGGCAGGGGGTGACGGGTTCTCTGTGTAGCAAGGGGAGAGGTTTGCGATTTCCCTCCGTAGCGGTAAATGCCCCAGGTAACCAGGACTGAATCCACATGGTGGAGACATTAGGGACCCAGCCGCAGGTAGGGGAGGAGTTAACCAAGTCTCCTGGCTCCTGCCCCTGCCAAGAGCCCCCATAGCAACCAACTTGCTCTGTGAGCACTCTGGCATGCTTGCACCTGAGCCGGCTCTGTGTGTCTACACAAAGCACAGCATGGCTAAGGCAAGCCCCCCTTCCCCCCGTTCTCTCCTCACTGGCTGTAACTGACAGCAGGAGGACCAAATAGCTCACACTGCTGCCTCTCTGTCCAATGAGGGGAGAGAGAGCCGAGAGAGACGCTGCTTTCGTGTACATTGCTGTATTGAGAATTTTAGGGTGGGCTGAGGGGGAATGGGGGGGGGCTGCTTACAGAAGATTTTTTACCTTTATCTCTGGTTCACATCAGTGCGACTTATCATGCGACTTGACAGTTCAAAGTCACATGGACCAATTGCACCTCATTTGCGGCAATTGAACCACTCAAGTTGCAGCGACTTTGAAAAAAGTTGCTGCACTATTTCTATGTGACTTCATAGCGACTTGCATTGACATCTGTTAAATGAAGTCACACAGATGTCAGTAAACCACACATGAAATCGCGCTGATAGTCGGTGTGAACAAGGTGTAAAGCATAGAATGCATTAAGGTAAAAAACCTTGTACCTTAGAACCACTTTAAACAAATGGAGCTGGATTGTTGACAAAACCATCATTTGACTTAAAATGTACGGATAGTGGTTCATCAACAACATGAAAGGTAAACATGTTGTACAATCTCTATTGATTTTAAAGCGGTTGTAGAAGGAAAAACATTTTTTCCTTAAAAATAACAAAACATGTCTATATTTACCTGCTCTGTGCAATAAAATTGCATAGAGTGGAGCGGATCCTCCTCTTCTCTTGTCCCCTGCTCGCGCTCTTGGCTCCACTCTCTCTGTTCAGTGCCCCCAGTAGGAAGGCAATTCCCATGGGGGCACTCATGAGAGCTTATTCCTGAGTCCCACTGCTGCGTCCATTGACAAGGACAGCGGGACTTGGGCCCAGCCCCCCGCTCCCTTGTCACTGGAGTTGACTGACAGGAGTGGGAGCCAGTTCTTCCTGCCATCAAACTGCCCAGAGTGGAGGGATAGTCAGGAGTACCGCAGCTCTCGTGCACAGCACTGGATCCTGATGGGGCTCAGGTAAATATAAGGGGGGTGAGAGGGAAGTCTGTGACATAGGTTTTTTATTTGAATGCATTCAGGTAAACAACCTTCAGGCTTTAGAATGACTAAGTATTTGAAGACAGGATTTTGTACACAAAATTCTGTCAAAACACATTAAAAATGCATGTAAATGCGTTTTACATGCCTTTTACAAGCTCTTTCCATGCACTCCCAAGTCTACGGGGACAAAAATGCACTATGCTGCAACAAGGAGGAAAAATTGCACTGCACCATGGTGCACTGATGTGAAAGGGCGTCACAGAGAATAATGTGATTTCCATTGTCCGGCATGGCAGAAATCACACTTGTGTGAACAGAGCCTTAGGCAATGTCCTCACCATTTTCCTGCAGAGAAGCCTTACCTTTCTACAGTTTCACAGAATAGGACAATTACTTCCTGCTGAACGTAGTACTCCTTTGGAGTTTTCACAGGGACCATGGCGGACACATAACTGCAATATAAACAAAGTAATACAATGAGGACTCGTCATGCAATGAAACAGACATTTTATTTCTCTTCCTCAGGCAGGTTCCTCCTGTGCTCTCAGAGAGCCCCTGAACTACTCTTAACATTCCATATTCAATCCTGAACTCGAGCTCTATGTAGACGCACTGTAACACTTCTCAAACCATATTGAAATGCACAATGCATTCTGGGACGCTGGTATGAGGTCCTCACGTTAAAGCGGAACTAAACCCTCCTATCCTTTACAGCCGAGGAAACTGCCACTTTAGCCCCAGTTTGATCTGCAGCTGCCATGGTGCTGCATATGTGATCAGTTATGACACCAGCCATTTGGTGGCTAGACAGTTGAATTGAGAAAAAAGCAGCTATCACAGTTATCAATCAGAGCTTGACTTCCCTAACTGTTCTGGAAACTGTTAAAATGGAACTAAACCCATCGACTTAACTGCTCCTCAAAACAGTTACAGTCATGGCCAAAAATATTGGCACCCCTGCACTTCTGTCAGATAATGCACCACTTTGCCCAGAAAACTGTTGCAATTACAAATGTTTAGGCATTCTCATGTTTATTTCTTTTGTTTGTATTGGTATGACGCAAAAAAGTGGAGAAACAAAAAGCCAAATCTGACACATTCCATGCAAAACCCCAAAAATGGACTGGACAAAATTATTAGCGCCCTCAATGTAATATTTGGTTGTACATCCCTTGGAAAAAAAAATAACTGAAATCAATGGCTTCCTGTAACCATCAATGAGTGTCTTCCACCTCTCTACTGGAATTTTGGACCGCTCTTCTTTCGTCAACTGCCCCAGGTCTCTCAGATTGGAAGGCTTCCTTTCCCCAACTGCTGCTTTGAGATCTCTCCCCAGGTGCTCAATGGGATTGAGATTATTATTATCAGGATTTATATAGCGCCAACAGTTTGCTGAGAGCTTTACAATATAGAGATCTGGACTCATTGCTGGACCAATTCAGGACTTTCTCTGAAACCACTTCTGGGTGCTTTTTGCCTTGTGCCTGGGGTCATTGAGAATGCCTAAACATTTGTAACTGCAACAGTATTCTGGGTGCGAAGTGGTGCATTATCTGACAGAAACACAGGGGTGCCAATATTTTCAGCCATGACTGTACATTCAAGGCATGCCATTAACGATAATTACTACACTTGCATGTGCTCTCAACCAAACTGTCAAACCATCAAATGCTGGTGTCATAACTGGTCACATGTGCAGTACCATGGCAACTGCAGATCAAACTGATGGCGTCTTCCTTGGCTGTAAATGACAACAAGGTTTAGTTCCACTTTAAGGACTACCGTAGTGGATATTACCCCACTTCCCACTTGTAGGACATCATATGATCAGGGAGGCCAGTAACTGCTTCGGTCGCATTCCCTAGGAAGAGTGGAAGGAACGGAAGTTCCTTCCCCCTCTTTTGAGAGGACAGAAACGGGAAGCAATGAGGATTTCGTCACTTCCGGTTTGTTCGTTGACAAGCTGTTACCAGCTGGAAACCGATCTTGGTTTGATCAGGTGCTTTGGAACACGAGGAGAGCTCTGGAGTCTAATAGATCCCAGATCTCTCCATAAAAGCGGACCTGTCACAGCCCATAAATAATAAATGGCAACTGCACCACACGTGAGGTATCACTGTGAATGTCAGCATGAGAGCAATAATTGTAGCGCCAGACCTACTGTGTAACTCTACACTGGTAACCTGTAAAGGCTTTTAACCCCTCGCCTACAGGGCACTTATACCCCTTCCTGCCCAGGACAATTTCCAGCTTTCATGCTGTCGCACTTTGAATGACAATTGCGCGGTCATGCAACACTGTACCCATATGACATTTTTATCATTTTTTGTGACAGATAGAGCTTTATTTTGGTGGTATTTAATCAACTCTGGGTTTTTTATTTTTTCTTAAACAAACCAAAAACCACAGAAATTTTTGAAAAAAAAAAAGTTTTAGTTTTTGTGCGCTAATGAGTCTGCAGTGATGGGCACTGAAAGGCATGACTGATACACGGCACTGATTGGCATTGATAGGAGGCACTGACTGGCACTGATGGGTGACACTGAAAGGCAGCTCAGATGGGCACTGATATGGTGGCATTGATGTGCAGTGGTAGGCACTGATATGTGGCATTGATGTGCACTGGTAGGCACTGGCACGTGGACACTGATGTGGCACTGGCACAAGGCACTGATGGACACGGACAGGTGGCACTGCTGGGGCTACACTGATCATCAGGGCACACTGATCATCTGTGCTCTGATGATCAGTGTACATGTCCCCTCCGTGGAAAGCCGATTACCGGCTCTCTTCTCCTCTCGGGCTGTCAGTGTGATGGCTCGAGAGGAGAGAAATGGCGAAAACCAGCATTTCCCTGTTTACACATGATCAGCGGTGATTAGACACAGCTGATCACATGACCGAGCCGACATCTTCCGCTGTGTCGAGGGACACAGCGCACCGCCGATCGCCGCGCGCTGCTCCCTGAGCCATGCATGCGCTGTGAGAATGGGAGGACATCATATGACGTTCTCCCAGAACGAGAGAACCACCTTGCGTCCGTCATATTACTATATGGTGGGCAGGAGGTGATTAAAGCATCACCTATGGATAATTTGTTTGTCGCCATTCCACAGGTGTGCGCTATTTTAAAGCATGACATGTTTAGCATCTATTTACTTGGCATAACATCATTTATATTTTTTTTAAAAACCTGGGTATTACAGTATATTAAAATTAAATTAATTATTAAAATTAATTAAAGTGCATTTTTCCCAAAATAATTGCACTTGAGAAACTGCTCCACAAATACAGTGTGACAAAAAAAAACAAACAAAACTGAAACACCCACCATATTATTCTCTAGGGACTCTGCTTAAAAACTATATAATATTTAGGGTTTTCAACCACTTGCCTACCGGGCACTTTCACCCCTACCCTGCCAGGCCAATTTTCAGCTTTTAGCACTGTTGCACTTTGAATGACTATTGCGCAGTCATGGAACACTACCCCAACAAAATTCTTTATCTTTTTTTTTTTTTTTTTTTTTTTTTTAGACATATGGAGCTTTCTTTTGGTGGTATTTAATTACCACTGTTTTTTTTTTAATTTTTCTTTCTTAGTTTCTGTTCTAAAATTTTGTAAAGAAGTAATTTTGCTCCACTGAAGTGCGCTGATGAAGCTGCACTGACAGGCGGAACTAATACACGGCACTGATGGGGAGACACTGATAGGTGGCACTGACAGGCATCACTGATGGGTACTAAGTGCTGCCTATAAGTGCCTCCTCGTCAGTGCAGTCTATGACAAGCAGCAGTGATGGGTACTAATAGACTGTACTGATGAGGAGGCACTGATAGGCAGCACTGAAGGGCACTGATGGGGCTACACTGATCATCAGAGTACTGTCTCTACCTTTCTTCTGCACTCTTAAAGGGTTTAACTCTACTTTTGTGGAAGAAACATAGCAAATAAATAAAAATATATCATACACATTACTACACAAGCCATGTTGTTAATAAAAGTTATTCAACATGACATACCCTTTTCAATTTGCAGTCACTGTACTTCTCTCTAAAATTCAATGCAGTATAGCAACCTGGAGGCACTCTGCATACCGTTTGTGTACAGAACGCCCCCAGAAAGATCCTATTTTAGGCATCTTCTACAACAGGAATTTCAGTTTTGGTGAGATACTTTCCGACGGTTAAATACATTTAAAAAGGATGGCAGAGTCTGCAGATTTCTCACTGAAGGTGCACCAGGTAATAATAAACCAGACACTACCATTAAAAATCAGTCTGCACAGGACACGGTGAAACACACTGCTATTTCTTCAAAGCAGCAAAATAGTAGAAATCTGCAGCAAAGTTTAGTACAATCCCAGCAATGTACATGGATCCACCAGATGGGACCGTTTTGTTCTTCTCAACAAAAGTGGAGTTATAAACATAATAAAACATAATATAGCATATACAATTGTGACTCAAATCACATTGTAATTGAATGTTATAAAAAAAAAAAATCTTTCCTTTTCAATCTGCAGCGCTGTCGCTTCCAGTAAAATGCAATGCAATATGGCAACCTAAACACATTCTGTGCACATATGGTGTCAGATTTCTGGCATTCCCTGCAACAAGAATTTCATTTTTGGTGAGATATTCCCAAAGGGAAAACACATGCCAAGGGATGCAGACCCTGCCACTTTCCTTCCTAGAGCCCTGCATGTGCAGCAGCTGACTGATAATTATAAAACCACTCCCATACTGATTCACTCTGCACATGGGCACAGACAAACAGCTATTTCTTCAGAATAACAAAAGGCAGTAATCTGCAGCAAAGTTTGTTCATATCCTGGCAATGTACATTTATCACCCAGAGGGGAGTGTTTTTTTCTCAACAAAAGTGGAGTTGCTCTAAAAACTGTAAGGTCATTACACTCTGTATGTACAATCACCATACAAGCTTCAGACAGAATGACAAAAAAAAAAAAAAATAAACTTGTGTCAAAAACATAATGAAATAAGAGTATGAAAAAAGCTTTTAAAATATTTTACCTTAATTCAAACTCTGCAAAGAGAATATCAAAATGCCGAAGGGAGTCCCTCATTTTCTCGGTGTACATGTTCAGATCCCTGAGAGCCTGGTCGCGGATGATGTTTCTGACCTCCTCCAGGCTTCTGGTAAGGTCTTTAGCCAGCGGTCTCATGGCCATGCTCTCTATTTCTCGGTTCATTATGATTGAGCCGGCAGCCAAGCACTGCAGACACAGACAGAAGTTAGTAGAAATCTTAAAGCTGTACTTCAAGCAATCGGCTAGATACAGATAAAATACAAATGGTAAAACTGGCAAAGGATTTGCAATTCTGAACAAAACAGTCTTCAAGCACACTTGCCTGACCACATAGTCAGACCTTTGACCTCCGTTGAAGCAGCCCTACTTGGTCCATAATATTGGTCAACACATCCCAAGCCTGCTAACAGGACAATGAAAGAGAAAAAGTCCACTGATAATGTCATCCCTCTGCTCCCTTCTCTGGTTAACCACATGTACAGGGACACAGGATCTGATTGGCTTCTAGTGCAGCCCCTCCTTCTACCAGGGCTGTTGTATGTGGGATTACAGGATGCCAAAATGAAGGCAAAATTAGGATCTCTATTCACATACTGATGCATTTTTATTGTGCTAAATAAAAAAAAATGCAAAATGCAAAAATCACTTGCCCCCCGCCCTATAGTAGAAATACAGCTACAGGGGTGGTAGTCACGAATATATACATGAATATATACATGATTTGCATTTACGGGTAAGGGACACGTCGCCATTGGCAGCTACAGATGTCAATCACCAGGTTCTGAACGGAGATTCTCCGCCGGCACTCGGCGATCGCCGAGAAACAGTGACAGGGGAGAGACCTGTGTGTAAATAACACAGGTCTCTCCTGCCAGCAGTAACATGCTGCTGTGTATTTCCCCAGTAAAAGACACACAGCACACACAGTAAAACAGCACACTGTTAACCCTTTGATTGCCCCAGATGTTAACCCCTTCCTGCCCAGTGCCTTTAGTACAGTGTCAGGGCTTTTTATTAGCACTGATCGCTGTATTAGTGTCACAGGGGATGTCAGTGGCAGTTAGTTCCCACCCAGTGTCAGAATGCCCACCGCAGTCCCGCTACAAGTCGTGAATGCCGCCATTACTAAAATATATATATATATACATACATACCGCCATTTGTAAACGCTATAACTTTCACATGTTTTCAAAATTAATTTACACATAATGGGATTTTTTTTTTTTTTTTTTTAGCAAAGACATGTAGCAGAATACATTTTAGCCTAACTTTACAAAGAAATTTGATATTTTTAAATTTTTTTACTGGATATGTTTTATAGCAAAACGTCAAAAATATATATTTTTTTCAAAATTGTCGGTCTATTTTTTTTTGTTTTATAGCGCAAAAAATAAAAACCGCAGAGGTGATCAAATACCAGAAGAAAGAAAGCTCTATATGTGGGGAAAAAAGGACATAAATTTAATTTGGGTGCAGCATTGCATGACTGCGCAATTGTCAGTTAAAGTAACCCAACGCCGTATTGCAAAAAATGGCCTGGGAGGGGGGGGAGTGGTAAATCCTCTGGAGTGCAAGTGATTTCCGGTCCAGTGCATTTTTAAAGCTCCTGCTTGCTGCATCTTTGATGTGGTTTTCAAAATGCCACCAAAGCCACAGGCTCCCATTAAAATGAATAGAAAACAAAGCAAAAACACACTAAAAAAAAGCACCTGCGATGCATTTATGGTGCACATGTCTAAGTTTCACAGGTGCATGCTGGGTAATATCACCCAGAATATGCACTGGGAAAGCTGCATATGCGTTTGTACCATGTTTTTGCTTTAGAGCAGTGTGAAAGGAGCCTTAAAGTGGAACTTCACTCTCTCTCAATCAACATGGACTATTTCTAATCCTTATGCTGCTAGCATTAGTAAATAGGTAAGATAGTATATCATATTTACTTGTTTTAATTTTGTTTTTTTTTTGCATTTCTTCAGTTACTTCCTGGTTTCCATGCCTAGGCAAATGAGGGGAAGGGGGTAGGTTCTCAACTCAGCCCATGCCTGAGCTAAGGACATATGGATTCCAGGAAGTAAATGCTACATGAATCATCTGCCCTTACTCAAGAGAGCCACTACCAGAAATGCAAGGGGGGGTTTCAAAATTATTTCTTAGCAAAATAAAGCATGAAGACATTATTGGATGGGTGAGTTTGCATTGAATATTAAAAATAAATTATATAGCGTTTTTAGTTTGTGTTGCTTAAAACAAACAATGTAGTTCGACTTTACAGTGATTGTAAAGGAAAATTTGTTTTAAAATAACAAACAGTTCTATACTTACCTGCTCGGCCCTGAACCTCCTCTTCTTGGGTCCCCTGGCTCCTCCTCTCTGGCTAATGCCCCCAATAGGAAGCCACTTCCCATGAACCTCGCAGTCTGCGTCTATTGACACCGCCCTGTGCTCCCTTGTCACTGGCTTTGAGTGACAATAGTGGGAGCCAATGACTCCTGCTGCCTCAGAAAGGCAAGTGAAACCAGAAAGTGAGGGGAGATAAGAGCTGCAAATGTGCACAGCGATGGATCGAATGAGGGCTCAGGTAAGTATGGGGGGGGAGGGCAGGGCTAAGGGCTCAGGTAAGTATTAGGGGGGGGGGCTAAGGGCTCAGGTAAGTTTGTGGATGGGGCTGAGGGCTCAGGTAAGTATGGCGGGGGGGCTGAGGGCTCAGGCAAGTATGGGGGGGGGGCCTCAGGCAAGTATGGGGGGGGGGGATGAGGGCTCAGGTAAGTGCAGGGCAAGGAATGCATTAATGCAGGGCTTGAAAAAGCCGCTCGCCCAATGCGAGGAGAAATTCCTCTGCGGCGAGCGGCCGCGAGCAGTGAGCACAGATGAAGCATGGAGCGACTGCATCTGAGCTCCAAGCCTCATTGTGAAGCCGAGTTCCGGTTTACAACTTCCGGTTTCCGGCCTCTGCAGCACCACCACCGAGGGGACAGGTGAAGGAGAGGTCCGCTCTCCTCCGCTGAGAGGAGACACCCTCTCCACTGCCACGGGGGACTCGGGGGGACAGTAAGTACTGTATACAACATGTCCTATCACTATAATGAAGTACAGGGGCGCTGGGATATACATTACTGTATACATGTCATATCACTATAATGGAGTACAGGGGAGGGGGGATATATTACATTACTGTATACATGTCATATCACTATAATGGAGTACAGGGGAGGGGGGATATACATTACTGTATACATGTCATATCACTATAATGGAGTACAGGGGGGGGGATATACATTACTGTATAATGTCATTACTGTATACATGTCATATCACTATAATGGAGTACAGGGGAGGGGGGATACATTACATTACATGTCATATCACTATAATGGAGTACATGTCATACCACTATAATGGAGTACAGGGGAGGGGGATATACATTATACATTACTATAATGGAGTACAGGGGGGGTATACATTACATACATATCATATCACTATAATGGAGTACAGGGGAGCTGGGATATACATTACTGTATACATCATATCACTATAATATATAGGGGGGTCATATACATGTCATCACTATAATGGAGTACAGGGGAGGGGGATATACATTACTATACATTATCACTATAATGGAGTACAGGGAAGGGGGTATACATACTGTATGTCATATCACTATAATGGAGTACAGGGGAGGGGGATATATACTGTATACATGTCATATCACTATAATGGAGTACTGTACATGTCATATCACTATAATGGAGTACAGGGGAGCATATACATCATCATGTCATATCACTATAATGGAGTACAGGGGAGAGGGGGGATATACATTACTATATAGTACAGGGGAGGGGGTCATACATCACTGTATACATGGATATACTATAATGGAGTACAGGGAGGGGGGAATATACATACTGTATACAAGTCATATCACTGTTTACTGGAGTACAGGGGAGGGGGGATATCATTACTGTATACATGTCATATCACTATAATGGAGTACAGGGGACAGGGGATGTATACATGTCATATCACTATATGGAGTACAGGGGAGGGGGATATACATTACTGTATACAAGTACATGTCATATCACTATAATGGAGTACAGGGGAGGGGGGATATACATTACATTACTGTATACATGTCATATCATTACTATAATGGAGTACATGGAGGGGAGGGGGGATATACATTACTGTCATATCACTATAATGTCATATCACTATAATGGAGTACAGGGAGGGGGATATACATTACTGTATACATGTCATATCACTATAATGGAGTACAGGGAGGGGGGAATATACATTACTGTATACAGTCATATCACTATAATGGAGTACAGGGGAGGGGGATATACATTATTATCACTTATTATTATTATTATTATTATTTATGAGTTTATATAGCGCCAAAGGGTTTGCTCAGCGCTGTACAATAGGGGGGACAATACATGGCACAGTACAACAACAACAAACAACGTACGAGGGGTAAGAGGGCCCTACTCTTACGAGCTTACAATCTAGGAGGGAGGGGGTAAAGGTACAGTAGGAAGTGGCTGAGGGGGATGAAGTGGTGGGAGGAATGAGGGAGGATGGCCGTTAGGTGAGGGTGGGGTAGGCTTCCCTGAAGAGATGGGTTTTGAGGGAGCGCCTGAATGTGAATAGGGAAGGCGACAGTCTGATGGATTGGGGCAGTGAGTTCCAGAGGATGGGGGAGGACCTGGAGAAGTCCTGCAGTCGTGCATGGGAGGAGGAGACCAGGGAGCAGGATAGAAGGAGGTCCTGTGAGGAGCGAAGGGTACGGGTAGGGTGGTACTTGGTGATCAGGTTGGTGAGGTAGTCAGGGGCAGTGTTGTGAACGGCTTTGTAGGTCAGGGTTAGGAGTTTAAATTTGATGCGTTGGGCAATCGGGAGCCAGTGGAGGGAGAGGCAGAGGGGGGTGGCAGAGGTGGAGCGGGTGGTGAGGTGGATGAGTCTGGCAGCTGAGTTCAGGATGGTCTGGAGCGGGGAGAGCCTGCACTTGGGTAGGCCAGTGAGGAGGGAGTTGCAGTAGTCAAGGCGTGAGATGATGAGGGAGTGTACTAGAAGTTTGGTGGTGTCTGGGGTGAGGAAGGAGCGTATCTTGGCAATGTTGCGAAGATGGAGCCTGCATGTGTTTGTGAGTGATTTGACATGCGGTTGGAGGG